AAAAAAAAAAAAAAAAAAAAAAAAAAAAAAAAAAAAAAAAAAAAAAAAAAAAAAAAAAAAAAAAAAAAAAGAAAATAACTTAGGATAATATGCTTACTTCAGTTTAATAAATAAAAAGTTTAAAATGTTGCTCTGAAGGCTGTATTTACTTTAACAGATTTTTCTACTGCCTGCAACTGGATGTAGTATGTTTAATTGCCCTTTAAGGTTTCATTAAAAAAGATTACTTTATTTAAAAATCAATCATTTCTTAAGCCAGGCATCATTTGTCTTTCTTAAGAAAGACAAACATCACTTGTTCTCACTTATTTATGGGATCTAATATCAAAACAATTGAACTCATGGAGACAGAAAGTGGAGTAGAACAATGGTTGCCAAGGTCTGGGAAGGGGAGCTAGGGGATGAGGGGAGGTGGGGATGGTTAATGGGTACCAAAAAATAGAACGAATAAGATCTAGTATTTTATAGCACAAGGTGACTATAGTCAATAATAATTTAACTGTACATTCTAAAATAACTTAAGCACATAACTGGATTATTTGTAACGCAAAGGACACATGATTGAGGGGATGGAGAGGCCATTTGCCATGTGATTATTATGCACTGCATGCCTGTATCAAGTACCTCAGGTACCCCATAAATATGTTTACCTACTATGTATCCACAAAAATCAAAACAAATTTTCTAAATCATTTCTGAGGAATTCAGCATGGATCACAATTATCAAAGAAGAAAACTTATAAAGTTTTATAAAATTTGTTTTAAAAAAAACTTCCCCCCCAAAAAAATTCAAGGAAAAGATATTTTAGCTGTTAAGTCACAACCAGTTATTCCATAAACTTAACTTCTAACACCATACCATTTTCTGAGCAAACAAAAGGTTTCTCTCCGGTGTGAAGACGCTGATGTGTTTTGAGCTGTCCACTTTGAACAAAGGCTTTTCCACAGTCTGGATAGTCACACAGATAAGGCCTCTCACCTAAGTAAATAGATGTTAGATATTATATCTGAGACACTAAGGCTAGAAGAGGAGGGTGAAAGGTCATGACTCCCAGTAACAACAAAACGCCACGCTCGCAACTGAGCTGCAGGTAGAAATGCTAACGGCAGCACTTGGGTGGCGCCAAGCAGCTATCTGCTGGGGAGCACAATCTATTCTTTAGGCCTTGAGGTTATATTTCTATTTACTGCCCATCTCAACTTAGACTACCCACATTTCAAGGTGCTCAGGAGTCATGGTGGCTACTGTACAGGGCGGTGTAGCTCTACACTTAAAGGTATGAGAGACTGATTGTAAGCCAGCAGTAGTTGGATTTTTGGCACCTCAGTTTCCTCACCTGTAAACTGTTAGATGAACTAAAAGGTCCCTTCCTTTGGGACTAACTTTATAGCAAGAACAAGGGCCCTCTATACATATATATATATATATATATATATATATATATATATAGGCTCTCTAAGTGATATTTATAATTTCCATATGCAAATAAAGATATACAATAATCTTGGGATGGCTGCCTACCATAGTTCACCACAGATTTAATGCTTAGGTCAAATGTTCTGATAGCACACTGAAGACTCTAGAAATTCTATTAAAAACTTGACAATTAACTGTTTTTAGCCTACAGATGAATTTTAACAATGACACAGATAAAAGCGTATCAATTAAAATTCAGGTATGTAGAGGATAAAACTAAATTTGCCAGTAACATGACTATGATATCTAGGTTAATTACCATAACTTGAGGAATCACATGGAGCCGGTATTTGTAGACCGCCACTCTCCACCAAAAAGAAACTGACTATACTGCCTTTTTAGAAAACTTCACAATAGCGGTAATATAAGAAAATATAAGCCAACTGACAATTTCCCAACCTCAAATCAGCTTTCAGTTAAGTGTTACTTCTGACCAGGCGCGGTGGCTCACACTTGTAATCCCAGCACTTTGGGAGGCCGAGTCAGGAGTTCGAGACCAGCCTGACCAACATGGTGAAACCCCATCTCTACTAAAAATACAAAAATTAGCTGGGCATGGTGGCGGGGGCCTGTAATCCTGGCTACTCGGGAGGCTGATGCAGGAGAATCGCTTGAACCTGGGAAGCAGAGGTTGCAGAGAGCTGAGATCACGCCATTGCACTCTAGCCTGGAGGACAAGAGCGAGACTCCGTCTCAAAAAAAAGAAAA